GTATTCGATAGTTTGCATCTTGACAATCCTTCAAGCACATCAGAGCTTAAATATATCTTCTATCAACATGCTTCTTTCGTTGGACAGAACCCTACCACCTGCACTAAACACAACCCTTGATGCTACAATTTACATCGAAGATGTTAGTAGATCACATGATATCAAATTAATATCATATATTGTTTTTAATGTGATCAACATCATGCAAGAAGATCAAAATTATTTCTCTTCTGAGTATAAAAACACTAATAATGTTGTATCAAAAATATCTAGCTAATTCTACATGAATTTCATTTTATCTACTAGTACTACTAGAAAAATTGGTAGACGACGAACTTTCGACTGTTTCCATATGTAAATGGCCAATACGCCATTATCAAAGAATAAAAAGCAATAGAAGACTATGGTTGTGATCATTAATTCTAGCGTGTTTGGTAGCATCATGTGGATACAAATCGCATTTTATCACAATGTGTAATGGGGATATCAAATCTTAAATGCGAAGAAATTCTTTCAAATATATCTTTGCAATCATGTGAATCAATATGAGAGTCCATAACTACTGTGACAGGAAATAACATGGACAAGTCCTCTCAATATTATCGAAATTTCTGTCCAAGGTAGCAATATTGTCATCAAAAAACGAACAATCTCTATACTTCCTAAAACTTTTGCTATATTAAAAAATGAGTAAGAACATTATCATAAGTGACACAATGCTATAGCATTAGATAAGTAGAGTTCTACTTGTTACCTAAATCCGTTGCGAACATCTTGTCGGGCAAGTTAGCATGTGTACATACACTTGCAAATGCTTGTTTACGAGAGAGAGTGACACAAGTAAAAGCAATGGCTTGTCTGATTTCTGTGAGCTGTGGTGCAATATACTTCATGTCATTTTGGAAAATCAAATTAAAAATATGACATACACATCGCATGTGAACAGGTTGTACATCAAAATTCAGATTGAATTGATTAATCAATTTGTCCATAACGTTTGTGTTAACACCACGTTATCAAAAGTGATACTATGTACCTAATCTTTGCAACAAAATTTGTAGTGCAATCATTAAAATGTTGGAAATATTTTGTGTTATGCAAAAATTCGAGGATTTTAAATGCAATGATTTTTTTATGCACGACCATAACTTATCAACATAATGGACAGTGATGCAAATATGGCATTTATCGGTTTCTTATTGGACCAAAAATCGGAAGTAAAGAAATTACACCACTATAGTTTCTTAAATCATCAATAATTAGTGATTTTCTAACACGACATAAATTAATTACATCATACATACCATGACTTGTTGGAAACATATTTGATGAACTTCGTCAAGTGCACGCTTTCTATTGTAGATAGCTTGAACTCAATATCTTGCATTCTCGCGTTGTTTATGGGTTATAAACCCAATTTGAAACAATTGTTCCAGCAAGTTCCTCTTTGCTTGAACCAAAATGAAATTAGCCTACATACTGTCAGTAGCCCCACCACGAGCAAAACAGTCACTCTTTGCATAAAACAAAATGAAGTTAGCATACATACTGCAGATCGGGGTTGTGCTCCAAAACAGTCCCTCTTTGCTTAAAACAAAATGAAGTTAGCATACATACTGCAGTAGCCCCAACACGAGCAAAACATTTTCCTAAATACATGTTGTGTGTGTCAATTTTTCTATTTCCAAGCGAAGTATTTTCTACAATAATTACAGTACCTTTTCTAAATATGCTTCACATTCTCAATCGTCATCCATTTCTTCTTGAAGTGCTTCCTACATTTAGAGTTGACTCACGAATTTTGTTTTATTCTTTTATCTCTTGTTAGAGGCTGTTTTTTCAACTTTTCATCAAGAGCATAGATTGCCGTTTCTATAGTACCGACATTTTCAACAATTTGATGACGTAATCTTGGGAAAAATCTTATCCAGGAGTCTTTTATATATTGAAAAATTGACTAAGATCATTGTCTGGGTTCATGAATACAGCATTATCCATAACGAATTTTGAGTTATGTTTAGAACAAACATAGCTAATAGAAACTTGGAACTAAATAAATATTTAGAATCAAATGAACAACAATATACCATTAAATAAATGTTGTCACAAGAAAAGTATGAATTGAATAAAATTGTTTAGAAATAAAGGAAGAAATGTACAATAGTTACAAAATTATACTATTAAAAAGATGGTAGAGCATTATGAGATTGTGTATAATGTTGAAATGTGATAACATTTATTTGTCACAATCCCTATTTGTAGACTTCAACTTGCACAAAAAATACATTTTAAATTTAAATTCTGAAATTCAAATTTCAAAATTCGAGATTCGTACAATAAAAAAAAAAAAGAAAAAAGATTGCATTCAATGCGACTCTGCAATGGCTAAATCAACCATGAAAACTACAACTAAACAAGACTACTAGCTCGGGTCACAAGCCACTCATGAGCCTGAGACAAGCTAACCCCCCCGACTCGTGAGCCAAGACGAGCGATTTACACGAGTGATTCGCTACTCAACAAGCAACTAGTCCCACATCCTACCTAGTCGAAATCAAGGTAAATTGGACTCTTGGGTGTTGTGAATCATTCTTTGCAATCATATATTGCTCATGTTTTGGCTCCATTGTATTGAGGTTTTGGGAAATATGTACTTTGGAATAATAGTTTTTAGAGAATGTGTGGTTAAAATGTAGGAAAAATTTTGAGTTTACGTATAATATTTTTTTATTGAAGAATGTGATTAAAAAAAAAAAGAGAGAAATGCATTAAAATTTTAATGCATCCCAAACACGGGCATTATTGTCTCTCTCCCTCTCGGTACAAAATGAACATGGTGTCCGCTATATTTCTATGTAACACAGACAGGCTACAGCCTCCAAGCCAAAAAATCTATTTTATTAGCACTGAAACGGGACAGTAAACTTAAAAAATTTATTTTCCCTAAGATTTTTAATTTAGCAATATCTTTGTGATCTTGGTTATTTGTACCCATGAAAATACAAATGTGCAACTCTTTTATAAATGCAAGAAAGCTCGTAAAAAGTTGAAACACCTTAAACCTAACAGCTACTAATGTTTTCAGTCGGACCATGAAAAAAGAACTTACTTCTATTGGATAAAACCCGAGTTATCACAAAGTGAGAAAAAATAACCATCGAGATCGTGTAAATTATTTACTTTTTAGCATATATTTTCTTATTGCAACAATATAGTTTCTTGATCTGCATTGAGAGACTCAATAGGGATCTAGATTTCTTTTATTTTTATATTTTTTCTTCATCGAAGATGCTCTTGACAATGGATTGGAATATATATATCTAAAGTAGCTTTCATTTACATGAGCGACAAAATATGGTAGCCAAGAGACAAATAAACCTTGCTTAATATGATTGAAAAATGAACTCCAAAAAGAAGTTATGTAATCAATTATAATTTTTTAAAATTATAACTAAATACATGAAAAGAAAAATCTAAGTTATTATGGTTTGTTGTGGTATATATAATTTTTATTCCAGCTCGTACCAAGGTGGACCAAACTAATGTGCATGCCAATGAATTGAATACCCGTACCAACATGATGGAGATAGACATCCAAGTTTCACAAATAAAGCTAGGTAGCCACTTTGCTGCAATTCAATTGGCTACAATAAATCTAGAATGGCTTAGAAGGACACATCAGTATAGATGTATAACACGTGGCAAAACAAGAATGGTTTTCGCTCTTTTAATTATTGGACCATCCAATTCTTACTTTATAATTTATAGTCATGTACCTAAAACATTGAGGGGATTATATCCCTCTTTGAAAATGACTTCTAGGTTTTTGAGAAATATTTTGAGATTGAGGATAAGTGTTCTAGCATTCAAAATGAAAAACGTTACCGTTATTTGTACGCAACAAACTAACATAGTTTGTACCAAATTACAAGTGCAGGAACTTAGTTTGTACAGTGCACAAACCATTTTTGGCACAATATATTCAACTTGTCGTATATATTTAACCTGAGAGTCCAAGTGAGAAGACCTTTCAATAACGTACACAATTATACAATCACAAGAGCCGTTTAATGAAACGTGTGTTTTATCATATGTATTAACTTGTGTATATGTTATGATAGAATGACTAACATTCTCTCTCTCTTGTCGACCGGGAACTCTTTTTCAGCATTGAACTCTGCTTTCGAGATGGGTGAAAAGCGTACTTTCTTTTGTACCCTTGCTTGAGTGGTCTCATATTATTAAGGTAATGTGGTTATTAATGTTCTTTTAGACTTTCGTCATGTCTCTAACAATTAGGTTTTCAGCTTGAGTTTTGCTATATGTATACCCTCATTTACCACTTCGTTTATAGAATATACACTAGGCAGGATCTCACACCACCTTCACAAAAAATACAGTTAATCTATCCGCTAAAATCCTGCCACATATTCATGTGTAACCCAGGGTAAAGCTGTTTCTATTCAAACAGCTTTTCCGTTTCAGCTAATCGAAAAAATTAATTCAACATACGCTAAAGATACATTTACAAATACATATAATGAATGAATTCATAATTTTCTTACCAAACTTAAACTTTTAGATTGAGAGTTGCTAACTCAAAGCTCTTTCGCTTCACACCTACTTCCATTAGACTCCTAAATTCACCAAGTAGACAACACACGCATGGCAAGTCATCATAATTGCATGCTCCTCCAAGGACTCACTCTACAATATGGTCAATTGTCATGTCATTATCTCATTTAATAATGTAGGGTCGCGTTAAAGTTTTTAAAGTTTTGATTGGAAAGCCAAGACTGCTTTCAATATGATTGAAGCCTTCTTAACCTTATAATCCTGCAATCCTCAATAAGACTAGACATTTAAGAAAAGAAGAATGGTACTTGTGGTCCTCCTCATATTCTTGCTCACTTTCTCACTATCCTTAACTTCAAGTTTCACTTTCTTCATTTTCTCCCACTTGTCCATACACTTTTATCTTAATTTCTTGTTTCCAAGGCATGGAAACAAGCAAAGCAGAAGGAAAGAGGGTTGCAAAGGTAGCCACATTGGTTAAGGGAGAGGAAGATCGGGAAGATGAAGACGATAAAAATAAGAAGAGGGCATTGACTCTTACCACAATAAGGGAATCGAGTGCAGGAGGATCCGTGCAGCCTTGTTGTCAGGTACAAGACTGTACTGTGGATATGGCTGGAGCTAAACCATACCATCGCAGGCACAAAGTCTGTGAGTTTCACTTCAAGGCTCCTGCAGTTCTTGTTGCTGGGCTCCAACAACGTTTCTGCCAGCAGTGCAGCAGGTTCAAATATTAAAACATTTGCAGTAATTTGAGTTCTTTCTATCTGTTTCTGCATGTGTTTGTTAATACAGACGGGCATAGAACTTCTAATTTTTGGTTAATGAACTAAAGAAGATGCAACGGGAATATTTGCCATAAAAGAAGAATATTTTTAAGAAGGCCGTGTAATGACATTAGTTTTACGATATTATATGTTCATAGTTGGACATTGCACGATAGTATGAGTCCCAAATGTAACCTACTTGAAATACAGATCCGAGGCTAATTAGTTACTTTAAAATCAGAGCAGAGTACAACGGTAGTCCCAATCGGAATATGTATAACATAATGAGGCCTTTGCCTGGGGTTATTATGGAGAAAATGTTAATATATAGTTCATTTTATGTAATTATAATTTTTTTTTTTTTATGCAATTGTAACTGATTTAAAAGTAATCAGCATTTTAATGGTCGAAGTTTCAAGTTCATAAATCACAAAAGAAGCTACAATGGACATCCTTAGAATCAAAATCCCAAAATACAAATCAATCCAGCAAGTACCCTATAAAAAAACATACATAGGAATTTCATCAAACACTTTAAAGACGTCAGAGGATTATCATACCAATAACATAATAGTTTTAATAATCTTTATTATCCTAAAAACAAAAATTGATTTCGGATGTTCTACATTACAGTAATTTGCGTAATTTAACTGTTTCTAATTGCTACAATACTCAGTCGCCTGGGCCAACTTAAGGATAAAAAAGAAAAACAGGCTTCATTTGTGTGGTTACCTTTTTCCATTCCGCAGGTTTCATGAGGTATCAGAATTTGATGAATCAAAAAGAAGTTGCCGCGGGCGCTTGGCGATGCACAATGAGCGACGCCGCAAAAGCCTAAATGATTCTCGTTAATATGATACTGATCTTGAAGGAAATCAAATTAATCACTACGAAATGAATAAATTGAGAAATCTCTAAGAAACGCATGTAGAATGCTCTCTATCTTCTGTCAATTGCTGGATTTCTTCTGTTGTAGTTTGTCGATCAAACAATAAAGGGCGCGTTTGAATTGAGCTTCAAAATTTACTTATAAATAGGGATGCAAATGAGCCGACTCAAGAGCCGAAACTGGTGGCTCGGACCAGTTGCCTATATTAAAGGCGCTATGCTACCTGCAGGCATCTGTAGCTGCCTGTTCCAGACAACTGTGCTGCTGCCTTTTGTTTGACTGCTAACATGGGCTAAAAAGTCCAAAAATGAGGTTCGGCTCGAGCCCCAGCTCAGAGCCGTAAGCGGGGTTAGCCTGAGCTGTTTTTCGAATCGAGTCACGGGTCATTCGAGTGGACGAGTCAGATTAACACCCCTACGTATAAATGAATACTCCCCAATTTTAGTCCAAATTTGAATTTTAAATATACACATAATAGACGTGTGTTTGCTTACTATAATAATTTTGAAATTGTTACTTGTGCATCTATATTATTTTTTATTGAGTAATGGTATTGAGCATCATTGGTATTAAAATATCAGTTTAGTTGCACTAGTGTAGCATTAAATTAAATATATAATTAAATGAATCACTTAATTATATCTTTTATTGAGTCTACCATTAAATGCCACATAAATTATTGTTGTAGCACCAATGATACAACATATCACTATTCTTTTTTAAAGGATGAGCCGTATCCTTGACGGCCCCCACCTGTCCTGCCTTGGACTTTGATGAAAGAGGTAAATCGCAGGTTATCACTATTCTTTTTTATTACATCTTGTGAAAGAGATTACATATAACGGTGGAATCAGGTGACTCTTAGGGTCCACTTTCAAGGCGGATTTAGGGACCACCCTAAACTACAGCCCCTACTTCATAAATGTGGGAGAAAGAAAAATTATGGGAAAATATTTTCTTTTAGTATTAGTCCAACTTAAAAGCCCCCGTTTGGTTCACTGAAAGAGTATACTAAAATTCAATTCAAAATCAATACTCAATTTTAATCGCACATTTCATTGGATATACAACTTTTAATCATGCATTCCTTTAACTTTTACTAAAATTTACTAAAAGTTTGATTTTTATCTAAACCAAATAGGGGCAAAATATGATACCAACATAATTTTCTAGTCTGTTACGCAATTGTAATCTAATTTTTAAGTGCATCAAAGTCAAATATTTTAAGGATAATTGCAGTCATGAAACCAAACCTTTCAAATCTTTTCAAATTTTACCCTAATCTTTTATTTTTTACACCCATGGTCCCAACCCTTTCAAGTGCTTGCGGTTGGAGGACAAATGGATGGAATCCATCCAAATCACGGTCAGTTAACAAAAAAAAATGGATTTGACTATAATATTAACTATTTCAATAAGGGTAAAATGGTATCTTTATATATTTTCATAACAAACTAATAAAATATTTAAATAAAAATAAATAAATTTCATTTTCTTCTTTCCCTTTGCCACCCCACCCCACCCACTACCATTGAATGAAACTGCAACCGCCACCACCACCACCTTTTTCATTTTCCCCATCTTTTCCTATCTTTAAGATTATCTCCAATCTGATTTCTCAGATACTCTAAAGATAGTGAGGGAAAAGGAGATTAAAGGACAAACCGTTATGGAGCTCGTAGATTTTGTTGAATTTAGGTCAGGTAAAGTCATTGAAACCAGTCACGAAATTGATTCGAATGATATGTGAATTTTTTTGGTGCATGACCCAAGCTTCGCATGCAAATACGAGATCAAAAAATATGGAACTCGAGGAGGAGAGCATTATCTTGAATCCTCATGGCAACATTTACAACTGAAAGCTCAAGATTAACTAATCAAGATGGGGTAAATTGATTTTTAGAACTTTTTCGAAAAATAAACTTAAATCGAGCTGGTTAAGTTATTGTTGATCAATTAGTAATAATCATAAGCAAATAAAAAAAGTAAATCAATCAAATAGTAAACGTAACAGAAATAACAATAAGTAAAATGGTAGAGAAGATGCAAAAAATAGAATTGTGGAAATTCAATCCAAAGCAGTTATCTACATCCTCAATTACCAAACTCTCCTGCATGAGCATTGTCTTTTCACTATATTAATCGACTTATGATGCAACTCAACCCTTTACAACTCTTCCGATGACATACAAACAAGGAACACTGATTCTTATACAATGACTCACACTATTAAGCTTTATTGGACATCAATATGACCCACAAGCATAACAAAATGATTTTACAATGAAACTCCTCTCTTGATACATTAACATTTCAATGAATAGCAACAAATGATAGTTCAAGTGTTAGATGAAAACATTGATGAATATGATAATTAAAAATTATTTTCAATCAATCAAAGTTTTTCAATGAGAAGATGAAGAAGAATTAAATTAAATTTAAGTTCAAAAATCTTCTCAAAATATTTCTCTCTTTTAATGAGTGATAGTAATAAATTAAGTTCTAAGAGAGATGACAAATTTTAATAAATATGATAATTAAAAGTTTGATTCAATCAATCAAAGTTTTCATTACCAAGTAGTGGAAGAAATAGATGCAGTGTAAGTTCAAAACTTCTCTTTAAAATATCTCTCTTTTATGGATGATAGAAATAAGTTAAGTACAAAACGAGAGATTAAAAACTTTGATGACAATGAAGAAAAGAGTTTGAATCAATCAAAAAATTTCGATATGGATAAATAAATTAAATGAATGCAATGTAGGCTTAAAGAATTCTCTCAAATATATCTTACTTAATGTTCTTGAAATTTTTGTGAAGAATGTAAAAGTGGGGTATTTATAGAGTCCAACAAGAAAAATAATATGTTGAACCGGACAATCAACCGATTGTTCGTCCTTGTGTCCGGATGACGAAAATAGTCATTATGCGTTTGAAATCACAACGGTCAAAAACACGTTCTTACACCAACCGGATGTTCACATGATCTAATCGAACATCCGTCAAAACTCTCTGAGATTTCAGACAACGGTCCGAACGTCCGGCCGGTTGTGACGATTGCGGCTGATTTTTTCATTATTTATCCCATTTGATCCGATTTGAATATTTTGACAAATATAGACTTTTAGAAAGGGTTTTTAACTAATTTCCAAGGTAAAAGATATTTTTAAAATATGATCCAAATTCAAATATCATTTTGAAAATCAATTTTAATTTTAATAAAAATATTTTATGCAAGTGATAATCAAAATAGATTTTAGTGCACAAAATGAGTTTTAAGTTTTTATCATTCATTGCTAAAGACCAAAGTATTAGTACATTTACGTTTGAACTAAGAAATCTAGTCTTTAATCTTATTTCGAAATTTGGCTCTTAGGCTCTCGTCTTGATCTTTCTTTGGCGCTTGGCTCTTAAGCTCTTGATCTTGATTTAGATCTGTCTTTGATGAATGCCTTTTAAGATCTTTTCTTAAATGACTTGTCTTGAATGTGTGACTTAGAGATCTTGACCTTCTTCATGAGTTCGATTTGTGAGAGTTTTAATTTTGATCTTTGGACGACTATCGATCAATTTATCATTGGATACTTTGAAAACTATAATCACTTTGAATTCAATTGTTAGTTACAAGATTAACTTGTTTATTATAATCAAAACTTTAAAGTTATAATCAATCATATGTCAGCAATTTTCCCTTTTTGATTCTGACAAACAAGATGATTTATAAAGTAATATTATCAAGGGATAATGAATAAAGATCTCACATTTAAAGCATATTCTCCATATCTTTTACAAACCAATTGTCACACTTTTAAAACATATCAAATAATAGATAATATAAAGTCTATCACTTAATCGTTCAAAGCATATCATCTTACTCATCTTCTCTCTTTTCAATACTTTTCAAATCTTTCTTACTCAATTTCACCCTTTTGGCATAAGCAAAAAGGTTGCACATTGTTGCATTTTTTATATCGCATGTGAACGATATCTTAACAAACAGTATAGTGGACCTTTGAGTCCTGATATCACGAGAACTATATTTCAGAACTTAATCTAATTTTTCTAACTCCTATTTGATAAAAGCAAGTAAAGAATTATGATAGTTGTGATTTTTTTTTTTTAACTACTTGAAGATATCAAATTTTGCAAACAACGGTTGATTGAAAATTCAAATATGAGATAAATATCAGGGCATAACAATTTCATCTATTGATCACTTTAATTCTTAATTCAAGATTCATAATCTAATTTAGTGTTCGATTGAATTCTTCTATTGTATTCAATTTACCACTCTCGAGTTCTCATTTAACCTATTTAATTAATTAAGTTTCATATTTCTATGTGAATCAACTTTGGTTAAAAGAAACACTAGTTCTAAGAATTCATATTATGACAACAATAATTAGTATATGTATCTCTACACTAGTATATGTATCTCTACACGTTATACTAATTTACCAGCTTTTACTATCTGATCTAAATTTCAAACTTACCTCTCGATTTATAAGAAACTCACATAATCATCAAATTAGTGATCAATTAATTCAATGCATTGAACTAATAGTAAAACCAATACATATAAAAATAATCACAGAAATCTTGATTAAAAGAAAAAAATGATCACAAGTCGACTACATTGTTTACCCTAATATGAAAATTAGTTACTTATAATGTAAAAATAAAGACAAAAAATTGTCTTTGAATATATCACCGAATTATTTGAATAAATTCCTCTTTGCAGCCACGTTTTCTGGTATATATATTTTTCCAGCCGCAGCCCTCTTCTCCTCTTCTTTTCTATGTGTATGCGTGCGTGCATATATATATATCTAGCCGCAATTTTTGATTTCAATGTAAAATTCCAATTCTTTTTTCTCCTCTCTGTATGTGTATTTCCCCCTCAGCAGCCGCCTTTTTCTCCTTTCTCTTCTTTTTTTTTCTCTTCTTTTCTGTCTCTTTTCTTTC